ATATTCAGGCGCCCAATGAAAACCAGCAGCCAATGTTTACCATATTCAAGCGCCCAATTAAAACTCTTTAAAATTCTAAGAAAAGAAAATGTCTAAACGCCCTATGGAAAACATTGATTCCAGCATATGCCTAATTTGACCTATCATTTTTTCCTTTTTCTAAATTTTAGTAGTAAGAAAGGAAAAAGTTTATATAAGGTTGCAACCTTAAAATGTCCAATGGTAGATACACCTCAAAAATCCATAAAAAAATGTTGTTTTAATGTTAAAAAACACTCTAATCAATCATCTCGATATCAAGATTTATGAATATAAAAAAAAGAAAGATTTTGAGTTCCAGAAATAGTGCATATTGCAACACATTATCTAGACCGTTCATTTTCAAACTTATCGTATGTTTATAGATCTACTTGATTTTAACTATTTTTAGAGTTTCAACTTTTTATAATTAGAGATGAAAATAGATTTTAAGATAATCTCATGAATTTTTTACACCAAAATTATATGTTATGATAAAATTTGAAGGTGCACCTTAATTGGACTGTTTAAGGTTACAACCTTATAGTGTAAAAAAATTAAAAATAAAATAGTGTAAAGAGGTGACATTGTGATTGGGGGCAATCTTAGCCCTCCATTCAGAATGGACGGTTGGATAAGGAGAAGTATATAAGTTTTATGTTGTAGAGAAAACATAAAAAGCTTGCCCAACAAAAAATAGTGTTTAAGAACCTGGATTCATGGGGTGGATCATTCACTCACATATCTGTGTTGGATCCTTGCATAGGCAGCGATCCAGATAGAGTTGGATAAGTTTGAATTGTGAATCCAAAAAATTTTAAAAATAAAATAAAATAAAAATAAAAATTGGAGTTCATGGGGTGAGGATTTAAAGGGATCGAGAAATTTTATTTTATTTTTTTGAAAAAAAAAAAAATTTATAAGAGGGGGGTCTTATGGGAGAACCACACCGAACCTATACCGTCCCATAACCAATTCGGTCTCAAATAATTCCCATTCAAATGAACGATCCGGATAGATGATCCGGATAGATAATCACCGGGTTTTAAAACAATGATAAAAAAAAATGGATAATATTTAGCATATCCTAAATTTGTCCTTTCCAATAGAAAATGTCTTAAAACACACACATTTCTCCCTGGTCAAAACCCCACCCCTTTGGACATATAAAATAGCAAAACACTGTACATTCATGAATACATGCATGAAACATAAGGATCAAATAATATAAAATTGGAAAAAATATATCTATTAAGAAAACAGATA